CAGCGACCGTCGCCTGCGCGGCGGTGGTCTCCCTCTCTGAGGAATCAAGGGCCACCCTAATGGCGTCAAGGCAGTGCTCTAGTCGGCTCACCTCGCAGGTGGTGTCAGAGTAGCACTGGCGGGCCTCATCCGCCCCGTGGACAAGGTCGTGAAACTCACTCTGATCATTTGAGGAAGACGACGATGAGGATGACGAGCTCGACCCCCTATAGGCGGGGTCATGGCACGAGCGGAGCTGGCGACCCCTCTAGACGCGGCATGGGAGGCAGCCCTAGGAGCACACATGGTCAGTACAGGTGAAACCCCAAACTTAAGCACCATTTGAGTACCTGCCCTTGACCGCACAGGGAAGCACGAAGACGCGGTGGCAACCCGCCGGCCTCCGGTGACGTCTCCCATGGCCGCTTGCCGTAGTCCATTCCAGTTGGCTAGGAAGGGACTCTGAGTGCACAAGAGCAAGAACAGGGAAGTGGTGGAGCAGGTGACTCAAAGCAATTGCCTCTCCTGCCGTACCACGCTAAGCGTATTTATAGCCGCGGAGGACACATAAGGCGCACGCGTGTTCACTCACATTTACTAACCACTTAGAAAACCCCGCAGAGCAGGTGAAGCGATCAGAGGGAAGACGGAGAGATGGTTGCCCATGTAGCGACGCGAACCATGTAAGCCTTGCATGTCCCCACTTTTTCCATATCATTTCAATTGACGCTCTAGTATTCCGCGGCGCACGACTGCTCGTGAGTGGGCGCCATTATGCCACGACGTGACCAGGGAGGCCAACCGTCCCCTGAGATCGTGTGCAGAGCAACCCATCGCAACCATGACCCCGTGTCGTGCTTAGGAAACCCACTCTTGGGCTGGCCCTTAGAAGGGCTTGAGGCCACAAATGGATAGCGGCAGGGTGAGATGGGCCCCTATGGCTCTAATCAGTGGTGCGGAGCCATGCAACCATCTCTTTCTATGTTCGAGTCGTCCGCTTCAAAGTCACCTGGGTTGACCCCCTCAAGGGGGAGGCATCTTGCCCTCTGACCACTGCGGAGGCGATCGGGGACCGACGGGTTTGACGGTCGACGATTTATGGGACATCTCTCGATGAGGCATGGCTGAACTCTACGTTGATTGGGTAGGATATCGGTTCCCGCTCGAATTATGCATCGACCCCGACGAGGCACACTGCTCTGACCGCGTGGTTACGGTGGACATGCCTCTCCCCACGTGGGGCGAAACCAAACCCGCCTGTAACAGGGCAACATGACCTCTCAAGGACGGCAAGGACGTCAGGAAAAAATGGAGCCGGGACCCTGCGACCCCGTAAGGAGTCAGGGCCTAGCTTTGATCAACTCCCCGCATCCCAGGTCCAAAACCTAAGGCCAGCTCTAGAGACTCATAAACCGTCAGAGGTCCATGACCTCTCCGGTACAGTTTGATGAAGTAGACGGCCGGGGTGACGCAGCAATGTCTTCCTTATGAAGCGATGCGTAGCGCAAATCATGATCACGGCTTGGTCACGCAGAAGGAACAAAAGGTCTAAAACCCATGAGCCACTGCACGATCACAAGAAACCTCGCGACCACGCAAAAAGAGATTGAGGGGACGACCCCTCGTGACATCGAGCTGACAGCACAGCCCGATCTTGCGGCTCGAGGGCTTGCGACGGGCACAAAAGAATCCCGAACACACAGAAAAGAGCATTCTTTTCAGTCACGTACCACGTCAACAGGGCGTCCTGACGGGGTTATGATCCCCAGGTGTCTCAAGGCACCAATTAGTTAGCAGGCCGAGCGACATGCTATACATCAGCTAGTGAAGTCCTGAACGACCGAGGCCCAACTAAGCCAAGTGAACTAGGCCAAACGCCAAGGCCAGGGTCAGCTATGACCCCTCCCTTCTGCCTTAGCCGCACGACGCACAAGAGACTCACAACCTCTCCACCGTCCCGACCCCTGGGAGGAAAGGGGAGAGGTCAAGCCTAGCCAAGTATGCCTGCTGTGACAAGAGTAAGCACGCTGCACTAACCCTGCAAGGACCGAGGGAACAACGGTCACTTTAGTCCGGTCAGACGCCATCCCTGTGCCACGCAACACAGACATGACAAAACTGCACAGCAGTGACCGCCGGTACGGCGACCCACCGTTCAAATATGGTCCAACAAGACACATGTTCGATTCTACCTACTACGGGATGGGATCCACGACGGAGGCCTAGACTTAGAGGCTATCCAAACTAATGGGAGCCACAACCCGAGCTCGGGATCGTGGCCTCCTACTCCACAAGCTAACTAGGCGCTCAGCAACCTGGGGACGACCACCAACTCCTATACGGCACCCCCAGAACATCAGGAGACGATGACAAAGAGCACGACGGAAGCCACATCGCACAGGACGGCTGGCGAACCACAACCATGCCAACAGTGACGCCATGGCCGGCACAGTAGCATCACGCCACACCTTACCATGGCATGGACATAATACCATGACGACAACCACGCCCAAACGTGCACCACAAGACTATGTAGCTTGCAAGCTAAGTTAGCTAGGCTCCTCCCTTAGGCTCACGACCCTTCGGTCGGGAGGACCTCCTACTTTGTACATGCACTGGTCCTGAACTCTATATAAGGACAGCCAGGGCACCATCTTCAGCACTTTCACTCCGTAGTAGGGCTCCTGAGGCTTTCCTTCGGGCAATCCATCTCTAGCTCTCCTTCCTCTTCCACCATTCTTGCACCCCCCATTGTAAGAACTTCAGAGCGTTCAAGCGAGGAACACGCACTTGATCATCTCTGAGACTGGACGTAGGGCTCCGGCCTGAACCAGTATAAATCCTCGTGTCTTTTGGATGCTACCATCGTCTTCCTAGAGCAGCGCGGCAATCGTATAAGTTTACTAGTCCGGTTTACAAAATATCGACACTAATCGAAATGATATCTTACTTAGCACACAAATCCCACATAGGGATGATTAGTTGAGCTTTAAAGGTTCTCTGAAGCTTAGATGGATGTGGAATGCATCAGCAGTCCCTCCCATTGGGAGTGGATGAATATAAATACTTAATCCCACAAACCAATCGTTAAGGTTGCAGTCAGTCAAAACCGGCCTGGTTAATTTTTTATTGAATTAGACGTTATTGTACAAACTGGGGTAAAACTGGCCTAGCTAGTTTTCCCAGCCTCTAGCCACTAAATTCTAGATTTTAGAGTTATATCGAGCATTATTAGACCTTGTCTATAGTAACCAGTAATTAGTGTTGTAGCCCTTTTGATAGTATGACACATCTATACTCAAGAACAAAGATATATAATTCAATCACACTTGAGCGTCTACTATTTGAAATTGTGCCATCGCTTCAATCTTAATCATTTGAGGGATTTCAACACTATCATTGTTGTGAGCTTGACTTCCATGAGCTAGTGACAATATGATCAAGACAACACTTTTCATCCTTAAGCCAATTCTTCATATGATTCAACAATGATTTGATTGTCCTCGTAGCGTGACCCCTAGCTCATGGCTTGATTAGTACAATGGTGGCCATGGTACCTTAGCTGCCAAGCCCTCGCTTGCCTTTCGCCTTTGCTTAGTGCCTCGAAGCTCTTTCTTTGCTACCTTCACCTTATCAAGTAGTCAAGTCACACTATGTCTTGAGTCAACATTAAGCACACAGTTGGAAACCGTGTCTTCAATACCTTGACCTTGTTTGAACTGATTTGGAAATCCCTTCATGTGAGACCATCACATATGCAAACTCTCATTTCTGATTCTATTTTGTTCAATTATGCTTGCTCTAGATCAATAATGAAATCACAATTTGAATACATTCATACAATGAACAAGCTTCATATATGTGATAACCATTGATGTACATCAAATCATGTCTCTTTTGTTATCTTCACAACATGTTTGACACTTAATCAAATTTGAACTCGTTTATCATTTGCATGTCAGTTGCTTTATTTTTTTTAGCCCAAACACGTAAATCAACCGGTGACTAAATACCTGCACAATCTCGCTAGTCCTTTAATCATATTGCCATTTAATTCATCGAAAAGCATTTAGAGTCTAGATATGCTTTCATTCGGTAAGCTTGGCAGGAACTTCATTATCCTGCCTATTTTTTTTTTTTGGAAAGGATGGCAAAAGCTTTGCCACAAGTATTATTAGAGGGTAGATTATCCTGTTCTATTTAGTGTAGATTTTTCCATTCTTGTGTTCGAATTCTTTGTGTTTGAACAAAGATTTTTCCAACTGAGTTAAGACCTCCAACAAGTATGGCTAGTTTAATGAATCGAATGCCTTTGAAATGTCAAGCTTAATAAGTAATTCTGTAATAAATAAGGCCGGGTGCTTTTCTTCCTGTAGACGTCGTATTACATTTTGCACATATAGGAAGTTGTCATGTACGCGTCTGCCTTTTTTGAAGGAATTTTGTGAGATGGAAACCAAATCGATTGGCCAGGACCTTGGTGATCAGTTTCATGGAGCTATTGATCAGGGCTAATTGGCCGAAATCGACAAGATACATGTAATAACCCAAAGATACGTACAAATACAAGTCACTGTAAACCTATCATCACCGTTCCTGGCAGGGCTGAATCATCTCTTCGGAAATCAGTATCGGTCTAACCTTGCGTGTTGGATTTGTTAGTTCATCAGACGAGAAACAAGTTATACCACGTTGTTGAACATAGAACGGTGGTGGAGTGTTTGAGTTGCTCGCAGGAAGAACTATATGTTACGGCTTCTTGAGTCTTGAAAACACGCCGAGACGTCCAATAGTAATCCGCACGTTGAGGAGCGGCGGCCAAGACGAGCTGCCGGCCTCAGCGTCGTCGCCCTCATCGTTGCTCCTCAACGTGCTCTTCCTCGCGCACTACGCCTTCCTCTCGCCGTCCCAGCTGCTCGGCGACGGTGGCAGCTGCGGGCTGAGCTGGGCGCTGCAGGCGGCCAGGGAGGCCGAGGCGTTGGCCGCCGCGGACTGCTCCGGCCACGGGAAGGTGTTCTTGGATGGAGTCGCCGGCGAGGACGGCCGACCTGGGTGCGAGTGCAACCGCTGCTTCGACGGGCCGGACTGCTCGATTCGAACGCCCAACTGCACCGCCGATGCTAACAGGTGAGGTGACCCCGGCCCATCAGTTTCCATCTCTGACCAATAGAGTTGCGGTACTAATGAAATGGTTGGCGGTGCAGCGATGACCCGCTGTTCCTGGAGCCCTACTGGAAGCGGCACGCGGCATCGTCTCAGCTACGCCACCACCGACGGCCTCTACCAATCCGTCGAGCTCGAGAACCACATCCGGCGGCTGCACAGGGCCGTCGGCAACGCCGTCGTGGACGACAAGACCTTGGTGTTCGGCGCCGGCTCCACGCAGCTCATCAACGCGCTGGTGCACGCGCTCTCCTCGGACGCCGACGCCGACGCCTCGCCACCGGCCCGCGTGGTCGCCACCGTGCCGTATTACCCGGTCAGACAGCCAATCTTGGACGATGAGCATGCATGCGCATCGATGGTCCGCCAAATGCTCAGAGAATCGAAAGCATATAGGAATAGGAGTACTATATACAAAATCACTGATCGCCTTGTTGATGGATGCATGGTTCAGCCGTACAGAACACAGACAGCGATGTTCGACGGCCGCGAGTACAGATGGGGAGGAACCACGGCTGCATGGGCCGACGCGTCACGAAACTCCAGCGACGGCAGCAGGTTCGTCGAGTTCGTCACGTCGCCGAACAACCCCGGCGCCCTGCTCCGCACGGCCGTTCTGCGCGGCTCGGCGGTGATCGCCGACCACGCCTACTACTGGCCTCACTTCACGCACATCGCGGCACCGGCCGACGAGGACGTCATGCTGTTCACCATGTCCAAGCCATCTGGGCATGCCGGCAGCAGACTCGGGTGCGTTAGCTACTATAGCGTGTTAATGTGCACGAGCATATTTATAGACGCGAATGAGTCGCAATGACACATCCTGTGCGCGTTGCATGTACAGATGGGCGTTGGTCAGGGATGAGAAGGTGGCCAAGAGGGCGTACGAGTACGTGCAGAACAGCATCATGGGTGCCTCCCGGGGCACCCAGCTGCGGATGCTGGGGATCGTGAAGGTCATGGTGGCCAACCTGCACGGCAAAGACGACATCTTCGGCTTCGAGCACGACGTGATGAGGAGCAGATGGCGCAGGCTGAGCGCCGTCGTGTCGCGGTCCCGCCGCATCTCGCTGCAGAGGATCATGCCCCAGTACTGCACGTACTTCAACCGGGTCAGAGAGCCATCGCCTGGTGAGCAGAGCAGTGCACCCTCCACGACTTTTTCATCTCATAGTCATAGCATTTTTTCTCTGAATCTGCAACAATGTTATGTGGATGTGGACAGCCTATGCATGGGTGAAGTGTGAGAGGAAGACGACGACTGCTACGAGGCGCTGATGAAGGCCAGGATCATCACACGTTCCGGCGCTGGCTACGACGCTAGCAGCCGGTACACGAGGGTCAGCCTCCTCAAGTCGGATGATGACTTCGAAGTGCTCATGGAGAGGGTTACCGATCTTGTGAAGGCCGAGAACTACGACGACGACGCTCCGCTTGCTAAGAATATCCAATAGGATCACGTGACCATAATATTTAGTTGATTGATGGTTGATTGATATCATCTGAAGATTGGTTGTACGCTCAGCCTTGGATTGCGGGTGAAGGCAAGTATCACGGCTTCGGTTAGATATGATAGGTATCTCCTGATTGATGTAATCTTGTGATGTAATCTAGAGTTACCAGAGTAGTTAGCTTCTTCTTGTTGTACAAGTTGTACCGCCACACCAGGGGCTCTTTCTGGCTATATTAACACGAAGTCGTGAGCCTGAGAGGGCATCACGTTCCAACCATTTTCATATGGTATCAGAGCTAGGTTAGTCCACAATATTCTCGATGGCTTCCTCTTCCGCGCTTCAACAATCATTCTCTCTGATCGGTTCTCCCGTCATCTAGAAGCTGGGCAAAGGAAATTTTCCCCTATGGAACGCCCAGGTGTTGTTTGCTCTTCGCGGTGCGCAGATAGCGCACTATCTCGAGCCCGACATTGTGGTGCCGGCGAAGCAGATCCCCAAGGTGGCCGACAAACCGACTGAGCTCATCCCCAACCTTGAGTATGAAACTTGGGTTGCGAAGGATCAGCAGATCGTTAACTATCTGCTCTCCAATATCTCCAAGGAGATCTAGGTGCAAGTCTCCAATTGCACCACATCGGCCGAGATCTGGAAAGTGATCTCAGAGATGACAGCTTCCCAGTCTCGGGGCCGTATCATCAACACGCGCATGGCGTTGGCCACAGTGCAAAAGGGCTCGTCTACAATCGCCGACTACTTCAACAAGATGAAATCTCTTGCTGACGACATGGCGGCCGCCAGCAAACGTCTTGAAGATGAAGAGATCATCTCCTATGTACTAGCCAGACTTGACATGAATTTTAATCCGATTGTCTCGGTTGTCGCGGCGCGCACGGAGCCGCTATCTTTGGGCGAGCTCTACACCCAGCTAGTGAGCTGGGAACAGCGGATGGATCTCCTACACCGTGGATCCAGTTCATCTGCTAACACGGCTACACGTGGAGGCCGTGGCGGTTTCAACCGCGGCGGTGGTGGCCGAGGACACGGGCGCGGCCGCAACCGTGGCAACAACAACAACAGCGGGCGCCCCCGACAGAACTACAACGGCGATAAACCCATCTGCCAGCTCTGCGGCAAGGAGTGCCACACCAGACTCCGCTGCTTCAATCGTTTTGACGCTTCCTTCACTGGCCCACCAGAGCAATCTTGATCTGCCTCCTCTGCGTCATATGGGATCGACACCAACTGGTACACCAACACTGGTGCTACCAACCACATCACAGGAGAGCTGGAGAAGCTCACCGTGAGGGACAAGTACCATGGAAACGACAAGGTTCATGCTGCTAATGGCGCAGGTATGAGAATCAATCAAATTGGTCGAAGTTTTGTTCGTACCTCAAATCAAAATCTCATCCTAAACAATGTTCTTTATGTTCCTGAAGCTAACAAAAGCCTTGCATCTGTTCATCGTCTTACATCCAATAACCATGCTTTTATTGAATATCATCCCAACTATTTTTTGATTAAGGACCAAGCGACGAAGAAAACCATCCTTAGAGGGGAATGTGAAGGCGGCCTCTACCCGTTAAAGTCTAGGCCGTCATCAAATAAAGGGGCGTTTGGTGTTGTCAAGTCTCCTTCGTCCAGGTGGCATAGTCGTCTCGGCCACCCTTCTTTTGCAGTCGTTCAGCAAGTCCTTAGCAAAAATAGTATTCCCTTTGTTGCCGATTTGAATAAAGAAACTGTTTGCAATGCTTGCCAAAAAGGCAAAAGTCATCAGCTACCCTATCCTAGATCCACGAGTATCTCATTGAATCCCTTAGAACTTGTGCTTTCTGATGTATGGGGTCATGCGCCCACTTCTGTTGGCAAAAACAGTTATTACGTTAGCTTCATTGATGATTTCAGCAAGTTTACATGGATTTATTTGTTTTGTCATAAATCTGAAGTTTTTCAAAAATTTTATGAATTCCAAGCAATGGTTGAACGCCAATTGATAGAAAAATTCTCGCTATGCAAACTGACTGGGGAGGGGAATATTAAAAGTTGAATGCCTTCTTTCAGCGCATTGGCATCTCACATCATGTCTCATGTCCTTATGCACATCAACAAAATGGCTCCGCTGAACGCAAACATCGCCATATTGTTGAAGTAGGTCTCTCGCTTTTAGCCCATGCTTCTATGCCCTTAAAATTTTGGGATGAAGCTTTCATCACTGCCACCTATCTTATTAATCGCCTCCCTAGTAAAATTATCAATAACCAAACTCCTCTTGAACTTCTGTTTCATCGAACACTAGACTACTCCTCTCTTCGTACTTTTGGCTGCGCATGCTGGTCAAATCTACGGCCTTATAACGCTCGCAAGTTGCAATTTCGCTCCAAACGCTGTGTCTTCCTAGGATACAGTAACATACACAAGGGGTTCAAGTGTCTGGATGTCAATGAAGGGCGTGTCTATATTTCTCGAGACGTGGTCTTCGATGAACACGTCTTCCCCTTCGCCGAACTCCACCCAAACGTCGGTGCTCGATTACGATCTGAAATTCTCCTCCTTCCTCCAACTTAGACAAATCCTTCACATGATTTTGGGGACGGCAATTCTTCAGATCATTTTGATAATGATTCCCTGCATACTAACCCTATGTCTAAGCGTGCAGCACATGAAAAAAATTTGGCGTCAAACGAACTAAATCTGGCTGGAAACGGGCGTCATTTCATTCTCCTCGAGCAATTTCCTGTTTTGGCAGGAACAGGCGATGATCCCCAGGCTGATTCACCTGCACCTTCCACTACGGAGCCGACAGGATCGGTCTTGGATCCGACGGCGTCAGCTCCTGCGCTCGTGATGAATGCGTCAGCTCCACCGGCATCCTCTCCACGTGCGCCACCTGTCTCGAACTCGCCTCGCCTGGCTCCACGGACGGGGGGACAGGATATTTCGACCGGTGGTGGAGAATCTCCCTTGGGTCCGCCGCTCGTCGGATCTTCTACGCCAGCCACACATCAACCCACCGGATCTTCGCTCATCGGATCTTCTGCGCCAGCCACAGATCAACCCACCAGATCTTCTACATCGCCTGCAGCACCGGCTCTCTAGTGAACCACCACACGTCTACAACAAGGTATACGCAAACCAAAAATTTACACTGATGGAACTATTTGATATGGTCAGTTAGCAGCCACCACTGAAGGTCCTATTGATTTGCAACATGCCTTAGTCGATAATAATTGGAAGCATGCTATGGATGTTGAATTTGATGCATTGATCAGGAATAAAACTTGGCATCTAGTTCCACCTCAAAAAGGTAAAAATATGATAGATTGCAAGTGGGTCTATAAAATCAAAAGAAGACCATATGGAAAAATTGACAGATATAAGGCACGCCTAGTAGCAAAGGGGTTCAAACAACGATATGGCATTGATTATGATGATACTTTTAGTCCTGTTGTGAAAGCAGCCACAATTCATCTTGTGCTCTCTCTAGCTATGTCTAAGGATTGGTGTTTGAGGCAACTCGATGTTTAGAACGCTTTCTTGCATGGTTTTCTTGAAGAAGAGGAATACATGAAACAGCCGCCAGGTTATGAAGATAAGACCAAACCACATCACTTATGCAAACTTGACAGATCCCTGTACGGTTTAAAACAAGCACCACGGGTCTGGTATTCTAGGTTGTGTGGTAAACTTCACAGTCTAGGCTTTGTTCCCTCCAAAACTGACACATCATTATTCTTTTATCGGAAAGAAAATCATGTCATCTTTATGCTTGTATATGTTGATGATATAATTGTGACCAGTTCATCACAGGAAGCAGTGGATGCTCTTCTCCGAGATTTAGAGAAGGACTTTGCAATCAAAGATCTCGAGAACCTTCACTATTTTCTTGGCATACAGGTTCAAAGAAAGAAAGGTGAATTGCTTTTGACACAGGAACGGTATGCTTCTGATATCCTCAAGATAGTTAATATGCAGCTGTGTAAACCCGTCAAAACACCCCTTAATACTACCGAAAAGCTTTCAGTCACTAGTGGCACTCGGTTAGGAGTGGAGGACTCAACCAGATACAGGAGCATTGTTGGAGCTCTCCAGTATCTCACCCTCACACGACCAGATCTGTCTTTTTCGGTCAACAAAGTTTTTCAATTCCTTCACTCGCCGACGACCGTTCATTGGGAAGCTGTGAAGAGAATATTGAGATATGTACAAGGAACAATCGGCCTAGGGTTAAAAATTAGAAAATCTAACTCTATGCTTATAAGTGCTTTTTCAGATGCTGATTGGACTGGTTGCCCTGATGATAGACGATCTACAGGCAGCTTTGCTGTATTCCTAGGTTGCAACCTAGTGTCATGGTGCGCAAGAAAATAGCCTACGGTTTCAAGATCAAGTACAGAAGTTGAATTTAAGTCTTTGGCCAACGCTACTGCAGAGGTAATGTGAGTACAAAAATTACTTGATGAGTTAGATATTCCACATCCTTTGACAGCATGTTTATGGTGTGATAATCTTGCCGCAAAGTACCTATCGACTAACCCTGTATTTCATGCACGCACCAAGCATATAGAGATCGGTTTTCATTTTGTACGCGAACAAGTTGCAGCAAAGCGCCTGGACATCAGATTCATCAGCACTACAGATCAGATCGTCGATGGCTTCACTAAGCCTCTTCCAGAGAAGCAAATGGTCATGTTCAGAGACAATCTCAACATCGCTGATAAGTTGTGATTGAGGGGGGATGTTAAGAATATCCAATAGGATCACATGACTGCAATATCTGGTTGATTGATATCTCCTGAAGATTGGTTGTACGCTCAGGCTTGGATT